GGCTATGAAAATCAGTGAACAGGGCAGTCCACCGTACACCATCAATGAAGAAGCAAATGCATCCTTTTTCGAAATAAAGGACATAAAGTATCTTTCCGGGGTTTTCTCCTTTCAGAAATTATGTATGATTTTTCAGAAATCCGTAAAGGTGAATTTCTTATCATGTACTGTGATATTATGCAAGCAATACGTGTTTATTTTTTTTGCTAAGCACGCCCCCTGTTCCGCAGAGCTTCGTGCAATAAGAAACTGAGCACCGATCAGAACTAACCAATAGAACAGAACCACATTTATGAATAAAAAACGTGAAGTCGCCATCTTAAAAAAACGGTTCCAGAGACTATTTGTGTGGTATGCTTGTCAGCCACTAGATGGTGCAATCAGATAACAGAAATTAGGGCTGCACGATGTTAGGAAAACCTGCGATACTCGATAACAGTGCTTAATATTGCGATATCGATATTACTCACGATAAATAACCAAATACTAAAGTATGCAGTGTTGATGTTGTCTGGCGTGTGACGTCTGCTCTGGGTTCAAAGCAAACAAAAACTAATGCATGAATTCCATAACAAAATAACATTTTTATTGCAAAAATATGCAGCTGCACCTGCTACTGTATTAGCAGCAAAACAACAAACTGCATGCATGCAGTTTCTCAGTGACTTTAAAACATCACCTCCACCATAAAACTTTTTCTGATGCTCCAAATACAGAAAAACGTCCCTTACCAGGGTTTTCTGAATAAATAAAAAAATCAGAAAATTACTTTAAATGTTAAATAATAGTTAAAATCACTTAAATGCAACAGCAAATTCTCTCATTGCTACTGAGCATTTTCTCCACTTATGTGGTTATGATATAAGGCTGTTGCTGTAATTGGGAAGTGAACTGTGCTGGGCCAAACTAGGAGAATATTAATATTTTCTGAGGGAAAGAGAAAAACAATTGTCTGCCTTTCAGAAGAGGAAGTGGCAAAAAAACTACATGGGAAATATGTGAAAACATTTGGTTTTAACCCCAAATTGAACAAGTTTACCTAGATCTTAAAAAGCAGCTCAGATGATGAAACTGCAACTATGATTCTGATAACAAGCTAACAAATTGAACTAGCTCCTCTTAAGATAACCGGCTAGCAGAGCTTCTGACTGACAGTTTATGTGCAGCAGCAAATCAACTATCCTGATTAACAAGGTTATAAAAGCTCATAAATGAAAAATCACTTTGATGTGTGGGGGAACTTTTCCAGGCCCTCTTTAGCAGGGTAGGACTGGGAGGAGAGTTCTGTAGCCTTTTAGCTGGAAGCTAACCGGAGCCTGAAACCTCAGCACAAAGTGCGTTCGTTAAGCCAGCATGACGAACAAGGGAAGCGAGCGGCAGCGGAAAGCGGGGGCGGAGCGGAGATAGTGGAATTTTGGGGATACAGTCTATGCTGGGCAGGTGAACCAGGAAGAGGCACGGCGGCCCAAAGTAAGCGCAGCCCGGGAAGCTCCGCTCGGCAGCACCGTCTCCGACGCTCCGGTGTCGGCGCGCGAAGGAAGTGGTGGTGCCGAAAACAAGAGCGGTGGCTGGCAAACATCTCAACCTTCGGATGGAAACAGCCGAGCAGCGCGGGGAAGCTCTTCCATAAGGGTCTACGTAGGGGGCGGGCATATTACGTGAACGGACCCATCTGATTGGCCGCATATCAGAAGGGCTACATTTGATTGGTCAAATAATACTTCCGCGTAAAAAACAGAGCTGGTTTACAAAAAGTTGATTTATGACACGGATGGAAATGTTTGAACTAAACATTTATCACCGTTTTTGATGTGCTTTGCGATGGGCCTATCGCACGCCCTATTATCGCGATGACGATAATTTTTCGATATATTGTGCAGCCCTAATAGAAATACTCCAGAAAGAGACTTTAAGTACCTCTATCTGCTCATGTCTCAAAGAAAACTCCTAGTCTAAACCATCCAAAGATTGTAAAAGCTGTTTCAAACAAACGCCGTTCCTGAGCCGACGCCATCTTTGTAGTTTTTTATTTATTGTTTTTCGTTGCAGCTCTGTTTCTAAACCCACCCAACATCTCTCTACAAACATTGTGATTGGCCAGACCTAAAACTGTTTTAGGCCAGTGGCTCTCAATTATGTTCAGCGAAGCTCCCTCTCAGATGCATGCAGGTCATGCATCGTGCCACCCTCATTAGAAACCGGAGGGGGGGTATATTGATATTAAGTTATATAGAGCAGGGGAGGGAGTGTGTCGAAAATGACATCTAATTTGAGTTCTCTGTTGGGGAATCTCCGACAACAGGGGGGAAGGGGGTATGTAGCCTCTCACTGATATTGAAAACCGCTGCTTTAGGCCGATAGAAGACCTGCTGAGGCTACAATAGAGCGTGGAAAGACCGATCTGCAAAGCAAAGTATTTAGCTTTTCTACCATTTGTCTAGATTTCTAGGCCAGTATAAGACAAGATCTGTTGGCCCACAAAACCAGAATCGGTGAATCTACATAAAAGATCAAAAAATCAATGTGTAGGGTAAACACAATCAACTGTCTGTTAAACAGCTGTTTTACATTGATCACATTGAGTCCTTTGCTCCATCTGTTGCCTTAGCAAGGACTTTTCACCCTTCCTGTACCAGGTGTGCCTCTCAAATTCTCACCAATAAATCTTAGACAACAGCAAACCCCTGCAGATGCTGCCTTCAAATCAGATGTTGCAATTAACCAAAAGCATTTGCAGGAGGAGCTGCAAACCTCCTGAGTGGGAAATTGGCAAAAGACTGCGTTCGCACATCCCAACACCTTCTCACTTTTACAAATCTCTTTGCACCTTTGAATCCCGGGAAAGCCACACAACAAGCAGCGCTGCACATAACTTTTTCATCTATTTACCTGCAGCTGCAGAGCTATATATATCAAATGTATCATCATGTTACTCCACCTAAAGTTCAGGAGTTGGAATAACTGAGTGTGTGTTATTAGTTTGCTCAGATTAAATGTGTCAAAAGTCATAACAGTGTCTGTTTTAGTTCCCAGAGGCAAAACTTTTATCTGAAGTTGAAAAGATTTCCTATCAGCCGCCTTTTTTAATCAACACGATAATTTGCTGACAGCAGAGATAAGCACATCCAGAGCAGAGGGCGGTGAAAACTCATAACCCGACATCTACTCAGCTCGCCCACTTAACGCTTTTATTTGCATCAGTGTCAAAACTCATCCGGCACTTCATTTGTCGAGCGGCCATCCAGCGCTCTGATGTATTCATCATCGGTCACTGAGACCACGTCATCTCAATTTAATCTCCAAGTCCGAGGCTGACGACTGTAATTAGACAATGGATGCCACACTAATCCTTTTAACCCAAATGAATGCATGACGCTAAGGAGAAGGCAGGGATTTTAATTTAACTCCATGCTACTTAAGTGTTTTGAAACAATTAGGAATGGAAAGTCTCGTCTTGAACAATGAATAAATACTGCAAAGCACAAGACAATGTGTCACAGTAGAAGGTTTAGGGGAATCATTTAAAGCAACTGTACTGTTTAAAGTTATTTTCAAAGACTTCCTTGATTTTGTTTAAAGTTGAAGTTATCTGACAAAATAAAAAAGGTCGAGAGAGTTTAAGAGGAAATTGGTTGTGTGGACTGTTCGTCTGTGCTATCACACCTGACTGGAGACAAGTCTTTTAGTCAGGTACAGGATTTATTAGCTGATGTGTTTGTTTGTTTGTTTGTTTGTTTGTTTATTATTTATTTATTTGTTTATTTATCCTGTGTGCAACTTCTGCCTTTACTGCTGATCCTAGATTGGTGCTATACTTATACAGTCTCAATATTCTTAAAACTAGTTGTGATTAGAGATAAAAGTATATTGACAAATGTAACTTTTTAAAATCAGGGGTGTCCAACGTGTGGCCCACAGGTCATTTACAGTACTTGGATAGATTTGGTGTTATGAATTGCCTAACTTTGGCCCGACCACACAAGCTGTTCAAGCAGATAGACACTTTATTACATTTTTAATTTAAAGAACAAGTTCACTGAGAAACCATTTTGAACTTTTTAACTTTTCCAGGCTAAAAGTGACAATAGTCTTCTTCTATTTTCTGCATTAGTCGTTGATAGGAAATAGGAAACATTCAGATTGGAAAAGTCACACAGATGTAAAATGTAAAAATATATATATATAATTGATGGTAAAATGTTTCCTTGAGTAATAACAGCAGGTCTAAAATAATACTACAATAAAATAGTACAGGGCCAAAAGGCAACAAATAAAAAAGATGTAAGTCATTGTGGTGTGTTGATGTATAAGAAAAAAAATTCTGACAAAACTCAAGAAATTGGTGCTGTGTGCCAGCTGTTAGAATAAAAAACATGTCTGACGGCCTCTGAGCGTAGCAACCACCATAATAAACCAGTAGATTATTTATTTATTAGATTATTTGTAGATTTTCTGTTACATCAAGAATTATTTTCTCAGTCTGTTGTGTTGTAAATCCAGCTCTGGGTTCTAATGGAAGCGTTGAAGCCAAACTTACCCAGCTAGACTGACTGAAGGCCGGAGCACCTCTGCAGCTTAGATTTCTCGCAGGCAAACTTTCCGCAGAAACACCTAAAACAATCCCGCCACATGCGGACTTCTCACCACAGTACAGGTAATAATCTACCTTTACTGGGAGCCCCGCCCCCTCTCCAGCTGTCACCACAGCTGCACGTCTCGTCTACACGCGTCATTACTCTTCCCGCACATCGCTGTTTTTTTCTCTCTTCCTCTTTTCTTCCTTTGACTAATTTGCGGTCTGGTCAGTGTAGCACGGATCCGTCCAGGGGCGGATTCTTAAGCGCAGAGAGGAAAACGTGAAATCTGATCTGCCCAGCAAAATATCCGCTAAGATTTTTTAAGTGCGCACTTTTAAAAACAAACCGAAAGCAGAAATAAATCTTTTGTCACTTTTATCACCTTTTTGGACGTTTCGAGTTGAGTTTGAGTAACTTACTTACTTGGTGGTCTTCTTTTTCATCCACAAAGTCCGCGCTTCCTCTTCGGCTGTTTTCATTTCACCGCTCCCATTTTCCAGACTCCCGCAGAGCTCCAGAGTCCCGGTCCGTCTGCTGGGCTTCATGGGCTCTGCGGGTGTTCTGCGTGTCTGCTCCGCTAATGTAACACGCTGTCATAGACTGGAAACGCTGAGGCACACATTGGTCTGTTCCCATCCCGTGAAGTCCTGCCTGCCCCCATCTCGGTTTCTTTTACCGTAAAGCAGCCCTAGCGTGTAAAATAACTAAACTTCCGGTTACAGATTTTCAAACTAAATACAATTTTATGTCAATGCTCGTTAATTTAGTTTTTTTAACGATCATTTTGTTCGTGCAAGGGTATGTTACCGTTCCCACGCATTAAGTATCTTATTTTTTCTTCAATGTCACCAGGGGCACCGCACTGAAGAGGATTAGTACGGAAAACTATTAGAGCCAATGGAAAGATAAATATTTCTAAACTTTAATCTAAACAATCTTTTTCTTAGAATTCTGAAACATTTGACACAGTCAAGCATGATCGTGAAATGAAAAAGTATGGCTTCAGGGGTGATTTGGATAGGCAAAAAGGTTATTTAATGAACAGGCAGTAATTTGTACAAATAAACGGATTGATGGATATTGCATGTTGGGTGCCTCAGGAATCCACATCATGGCCAAAATTGTACAAATGACATCACATATATTACATTGTTTATTATTTGAAGATGATACAAAAATATGTTGTTCAGGTGAGGATTAATTAAACACATTAAAGAAGTGGTTTAATATAAATATATTCATTAAATTTTGATTAAAAAAACACATGTTATTTGGAAACCATAAGATGAATATGAAATTAGAAATATGTATTGACAATATTTATATAGACAAAGTAAATTAAATCAAATGTCTTGGTGTAATCTTGGACAACGAAATCAGTTGGAACCTACACATTAACCCTCTGGAGGCAGGCATTGCAGATTTGCAAGAGTTAAACCCCCACATACGTATTTCATGAACATTTTTTTTAACTCAGAAGTACCCCTGAAGGACTTAGTTGTTCGTCCTTTTATGAAAACTTATTTTAAGCATGAGAGGGTTAAATAAGTCAAGGGGAAATTGGCATGGCAAAAAACAAACAAAGCACATGGTCAACCACAAAGCTTTTTATTAGGGATGGACAATATATCGGCATCAATATCGGTATGTTAGTCAGTTTTTAACATATCGGTATTGGTTTGATAAATAAAACCGGGCCGATGTTAACAACCGATATTTTTCCATCTTGGCTCCATTTCTTTGCCTGTTTCAAAGGGTGAGGGGGGTGATGTGTAATTGTTTAGCCATGTGAACTGTGAATGAAATCATCTCAGAATGGTAAATATGTGTGGTGTGTGTACATAATAATTTTCATTCTATACAAAATCTTTAGAAGCATTAATGTCAGTTTATTGGTATCAGCAAATATCGGTCATCAGCTGTAACGGTGATCTTAATATCAGACATCAGTATCTGCCAAAAAATTTCATATCGGTGCATCGCTACATTTCATACATTTCTGCTATGTTATCTGAGTTGTTGTGTGGAGGTCTGTGGAAAGATACAGAAGTACATAATCAAAATATAATGCAGAAAAAGGCCATTATCATTAATACATGACATAATAACTACCATACAAAAGAACTTAATGCAAGCATTCAAATTTCCCAGACTTAAAGTAAAAAAAAATGCGTGTGCAGTGTGTGTGTGTGGTTTTTGCTTTTCACAAGTGAAAACATTTTTTTTCTTTCTGGATTATATTACATCTGCTATTTAGTTGAAAGGAAATTATAGTTTTATACTTGCTATTTGTTTCTTTTTTTCTTTATGTTTTGGATTGTTTTGTTTTTCTAAAATGAAAAACTAGAAGAAATAAGTTACATCTAAGAGGTAGGCTAAATAACTTTATACTCCTTTTTCAAGAAAATTATTGTACAGTGTAAATATGGTTGAATTAGGTAAGTGAATTTGTCTGAAAACCCTACTAGTATTAGTATAGTAATAACTACTAGTAGTAGTAACGACTACTACTACTACTACTACTACCAGTAATTTAGAAATTCAAACTTTTTTTTCTCAGGATTATGACTCTAAGCTCAGATAGCTGACATCATGCTACACTTTTGCCTCCGTAAGGAAAAAAATCTCCAAAAACCTCCAATGCTGGTTTTGACATGACGTTAATATGATGCTTTTACTTTTTGAAAACATCCCGGGCACAACTTCCGGTCTCTCTTCTCTCCTAGCTTGTTTAGAGGCTTTTAGAAGAAGGCGCGCTCTAGTGGAAGTCAGCAGGAAAAACGAAAGCGGTGTTGCGCAACGAGGCGGTGGTTTGTTTTAATTGGCTCTGTGTGAACATCTTTTGATAACACTGGTAAGATATAATGTGAACGGAAGCGTCTTTTGCTGTGGCTGCCCGCAACATTTCTGCTCAAGCTAATTCTTTAGCTAAAAGTTGTCCCTCTAACTCAGAAAGTTTGAGTGTTTTTATCAACATAAAACTTGCAGGTATGAAATGATGATCTTTATACATAATTACAGGAACCCTCCAATACAACATACTGTATGAAGAGCAAAAAGGCATGTTTGTAAAGAAAGCTTCACTGAGCTGAATAATCTGATGTTATTTTCCAAAATGGAGGAGAACATACAGG